CTACACCAATCTCTGGAAGTCGATGCTGTTTCCCCGCTTCCTGCAGGAGCAGGACAAGCACGGTCACGAGATGCACTACAGCCCTTTCAACGGGTTAGTCCAACCTGGGAAATTGGCCGTGGACAGCGGCTTTTGGGACGCGTACCACACGGTGTACCCCCTGAATTCCGTCGTCTTCCCAGAGAACCTCGGGCACCTCATGGATGCCTGGGTCAACGCGTACAACGAAAACGGATGGATTCCACAGTGGGCCTCGCCTGGCAATCGCGACTCCATGGTGGGCACCATGAGCGACGTGTCTGTGGCTGACGCCATCGTGAAGAGCGAGGCGGGCGGCTTCTCCTTCGACCTGCAGACGGCCTACGAGGCCATCCGGAAGGACGCGACCGAGCCCCCCATGGACTGGGACAAGCGGGGAGGCCGCCCAGGGCTCGCGGAGTACAATGAGTCGAGCTTCGTGGTCGAGGGAGCCACGGTGTCCAGGAGAACTGTCAGCCAAGGCGTGCCGACCAGCCGCCAGGCGCTGATGGGAGCCAGGAGCCGGCCGGGTGCTGCAAGTTGTGCCCCTGGCCCCAGGTGCCTCCAGAGTTCTTCAGGGTGGAGGAGGAGGAGGAGGAGGAGGAGGAGGAGGAGGAGGAGGAGGAGGAGGAGGAGGAGGAGGAGGAGGAGGAGGAGACGTCGTCCAGAGCACCCCTCACGAGGCCCAGAGGGCTCCCGGCGGCCGCGGGTGGGGGGTCAGACTGCCTCCGGGGCGCGGGCCCTCGACCTCTGGACCGGTTCCCCTGGGCTGGTGTTTCATCCCGCAAAGTTGTTCGTCGGTCCCGAGGCCTGCTAAGGGCCCCGAGAGGCCGCAAACGGCGAAAACCTCCCGTGCTGTTTTTGTTCGCGACGCGAGCATGTCTTGGGCCAGCAGCACCCGCAGGAGCTCGGAGTCCAAGTACGTCCACGACGGCATGTTGCTCAAGGTGAGCTCTCCGGACTACCCTGGCGTCCAGCTCGCCGAGCGCACTGGCGCGGGCGCGCTGTCTGGGGGGAACATCGAGTCGGTGGCGAGGAGCCTCAACAATGCCGTGGCCGATGCGGCCGTCGCGCGCGCCGCCAAGGCTCAAAGAGTGACAACAGCTGCACAAACATACACTTTCGGAGGGCCGCGCGCATTTTTCGGATCAGGGCCACCCCTGGCGCCCTCATGCGCGCCAGGAGGGAGTCCAGCGCCGATCCGAGAAAATCTGCGTGGGCCTCCGAACATTCATATGTGTATGTCTGTCTTTCTTTTCTTGAAAGGCGCTGGGTCACGCGTCGGAGGCAAAGGCCTTGTCAGAGCGATCTAAGCTCGCGAGCCGCATCCTGTTCGACAAGAGGTCGAAGTTCTTCCAGCCGAAAGACGGGCAAGGTGAGTTTCTCCCAGGCTTCGACCCGCTGGCCTGGCGCAACGGCTTCACAGAAGGCAGCGCGTACCACTACCGGTTCTACCTGCCACACGACGTGGAGCTGCTTCAGGAACTCCACGACGGAGACTTGTGCAGCGCCATTAAGGTGGTCCTCCTCCTCCTCCGCTTTTCCTCCTCCTCCTCCACTTTTCCTCCTCCCCCTCTCTTCATCCTCCCCCTCCTCCTCCTCCTCCTCCTCCACTTTTCCTCCTCCTCCTCCCCCTCTCTTCCTCCTCCCCCTCTCTTCATCCTCCCCCTCCTCCTCCACTTTTCCTCCTCCTCCTCCTTCTTCTCCTCCGCTTTTTTCTCCGCTTGATCTCTCATCCTCCCCTTTCTTTCGGCGCCCCCTCCCAACTCTCCGACCTTGCCGCCGCAGCTCCCCTCGCCCGCCCATGGCTACCCCCCCCCCCCCCGCCACCTCTTCCCCCCCCCCCCCCCACCCCACACTTCTCCTTCCCTCTCGCCCTTCCTCCTCCTCCTCCTCCTCCGCCTCCTCCTCCCTAATTGCCCTCGCCGGCCTCCTCCGCCTCGACCGCCTCTGGCGACGACAGGCGGACCTGGAGCACACCGACCCGCCCCCGTACCGCGTGGGCGGCTATGGGTATTCCATACACGAGATGCGGGAGCACGAGGCCGTGCAGAAGGACAGCCCACTCCTCCCTGCCCCCCCCTCCCGGCCTCCCTCCCCTTCTCCCGGTCTCCCTCTCCTCCCCCGCCCCCCCCCTTCCCCCGCCTGCCTGCCTCCCAGCTGCGCCTCCTCTTGCGCTTCCGTCCGTAGGATTTCGGCATGTACAACCACTGCAACCAGCCAGCGCACGAAGTCCTGTGGGTCGCGAAGAAGGCGGGCTGCGATGAGCTGGCGGACAAGTACCTGCGGCGCGTCATGGACAAGCTCTACACGACAGAGGCCAGGGACTGGCGCTCCGCCCCATCAGCCCAGATCCCCCTCCGCTGCCCCCTCCCCTCTTCAAGGGTTAAGTCGGGCCTGTCCTCCGACAGAGGGATTTTGGACGAAAAATAATTATCCTGGCGAAGGACCCAAACATGAAGCTCCTTATGGGGCAACGAAGCGCTGCACTCGGTGGGGGGAACGCTGCACTGAGTGGGTGGTGTGCCAAATTGGGCTTCCGGGATGCATGTGGACGGTCCCACTGGGCGCTTCGGTGGAGTTTCCTATGGTGCCACGAAACGCTTTAATGGGTGTGTGAAAATGCCACATTGGGTTCAGGGGACGCATGCGGACGGTGGCATTGGGGCCTTCGGTGGAGCTCCCTATGGGGCCACGAAGCGCTGTACTGGGTGGAAGGAAATGCCAAATTAAGTTTCCGGGACGCACGCGGACGGTCCCACTGGGCGCTTCGGTGGAGCTCCCTTATGGAGCCACGAAGCGCTTTACTGGGCGGGTGAAAATGCCACATTGGGCTTCCGGGACGCATGCGGACGGTCCCGCTGGGCGCTTCAGTGGAGTTTCCTATGGGGCCACGCAGCGCTGTAATGGGTGTGTGTTAATGCCATACTGGGTGTTTCGGAGCGCTTGCGGACAGTCCCACTGGGGCCGTCGGTGGGGCTCCCTCTGGGGCCACGAAACGCTGTCTTGGGTGGGTAAAAATGACACATGGTGTTTTCGGGACGCATGCGGACGGCGGCACTGGGGCCTTCGGTGGAGCTCCCTATGGGGCCACGAGACGCTGTACTGAGTGGGCGAAAATGCCAAATTAGGTGTTTCGGGACGCATGCGGATGGTCCCACTGGTGGTTTCGGTGGAGCTTCCCTTGGGGCCACGAAGCGCCGTAATGGGTATCGGGACGCATACGGGCGGCAGCACTGGGACCTTCGGTGGGGCTCCCTATGGAGCCACGAAACATTGTACTGTGTGGGTGAAACGCAGGGAGGAGGGGGAGGAGGGCCACGAAACGCTGTACTGGGTGTGTGGGACGCATACGGGCGGCAGCACTGGGACCTTCGGTGGGGCTCGCTATGGGGCCACGAAGCGATCTACTGTGTGGGTGAAACGCAAGGAGCAGGGGGAGGAGGGCCACGAAACGCTGTACTGGGTGGGGAGGGACGCATACGGGCGGCAGCACTGGGACCTTCGGTGGGGCTCCCTATGGGGCCAAGGAGCGCTGTACTGGGTGGGCGGGACGCATGCGTCTGGCAGCGCTGGGACCTTCGGCGGGCGCCTTATGGGGCCACGAAGCGTTGTACTTGGTGGGCAAAACGCAGGGAGGAAGGGGAGGAGGGCCACGAAACGCTGTAGTGGGTGTGCGGGCCGCATGCGGTCGGCAGCACTGGGACCTTCGGTGGGGCTCGCTATGGGGCCACGAAACACTGGGCTGGGTGGGTGAAACGCAGGGAGCAGGGGGAGGAGGGCCACGAAACGCTGTAGTGGGTGTGCGGGACGCATGCGGCCGGCAGCACTGGGACCTTCGGTGGGGCTCGCTATGGGGCCACGAAACATTATGCTGGGTGGGTGAAACGCAGTGAGGAGGGGGAGGAGGGAGAAGGAGGGAGGAGGGGAGGAGGAGGAGGAGGGAGGACGCAGGGCGCTGTCTCTTCAAAACGAGGACCCAAAACCACAGTATGGCTGGGGGAAAATAGCACAAACATGCCCCCGAGTGGTCAAAACATGCGAAGGAAATAATCCCAATATTTTTTCATTATTTCAGGATGTTCCCCCTGTAGAGAGATCCCCCTCCGCTGCCCCCTCCCCTCCTCAAGGGTTAAGTCGGGCCTGTCCTCCTACACGGGGATTGTGGACGAAACGTTGAAAAATAGTACAAGCATGCCCCCGAGTGGTCAAAACATGCTAAGACAATGGTCCCCTATGTTGAAATCATTTTTTGATGTTCCCCCTGTAGAGGGACACGCCCGACTTTACCCAAGGGGGCGGCCACGGGGAGGGGGGCCCTCGAGCCCCTGGAGGGGCCCAGAGGTCCCAGGAGGTTCCTGGAAGCCTCCAGAACCTTCCAGAGGACCAGCGACGTGCCAACTCTCGGCACGAACGAAATGGGCACGGAAAGAATGGGTACGATGCCCAACAGAAGTTCCTGTTCATTTCGAACAGGACTTGCAGTCCGCGCCGCCGCGGCCTGTGTCCATTGGAGGCAGAAGGCCGCCTGCCCGACAGCGGCCGCTGTTGGTTTGGGACAACATTTGTTGTTGGGCATTGTACCCATTCTTTCCGTGCCCATTTCGGGCGTCCGAAAACTCGCCTCACAGATACTCTGGGAGGATGTGGGAGGAACGGAGGAGGGAGGAGGGAGGGAGGAGGGAGGGAGGAGGGAGGGATGAGGGAGGGAGGGAAGGGAGGGACGGGGGGAGGGAAGGAGCGAGAGAGGCAGGGAGGGAGTGAGGAGGAACGATGCTGGTGATGCTGGCGAAGAAGAGGAGGAAGGAAACGGGGGGTGGGTCAGTTGAAGGATTGGAAGAATGGTCGTTGCGAGTGTCCCCTCAAAAGGGCTGGTGCGGAGACGAGGACAACGGCGAGATGGCCTCGTGGTGCTCAGGGAAACCGAACCCGCAGAGATGGTCAACTATCTACCTTCTCCACCCTTGTCCTCGTGCTCTCGCAGAGCAGAGAACGACGTGCTCCGCATAGCCTCTAAGAGCAAGGTCGGTGGGCGAGGCTGTGCCCTCCTCTCCTTGGAGGCTACGGCCTGCACCACCTGGTGTTAGGCAGGCCCGGGCAGCGGTCTGCAGCGTGGGCAGCGGTCTGCAGCGGTGTGCCCTTGAGGTGAAACGCGGCAGTAGCATACACTGTTGCAGGTCCGAGTGAATTTGTACGGGGTCCAGTGCCGATCCAAGAAATCTACGGAAACCTCTGACAGTTTATATGTGTGCTTGTTGTTGTTCTGGTTTGCATTACTTGGGCCATGATCCTTGTCCACGTGCGCAACGCAACGGTAGGAACCTTGTCTACAGACTCTTTCCTCCCACACGCCAGTTGCTGGTTTTGCCGCCGCGCAGCTGGCTAAAATGGTATCTGGGCGACTCCATCTGAGTACCATTCCTGCCCGTCATCCCCTATCCTCCTCCTCCTCCTCCTCCTCCTCCTTCTTTTCTTTCCTCTGCTTCGGAGGCTCCCAGTGTACGCCCCCGTTTTGCCCAGTGATTGCCCTGACCGTGAGTATCAACCGCGCTGGGCGCTTGAGACCCCCGTGCTCTCTAGGGTTGTGAAGCCAGGAAGCTGGGCCGACCCATGGGGTCAAAGAGCCCCAATGCCATGCATATCTCGAGTTCCTCCCCTTCTTCCCCGTCGCCTCCCTCCGCCTCTCCTCCCTCCTCCTCCTCCTTCCTCATTATCAATTTCTTCTCCCTCGTCTCCCCTCTCTCCTCTTCTCCCCTCCTCCCACTCCACCTCCTGCTCATCTTTCTCCTCCTCTTCTGGTGGCCCCCCCCAGGTCAGATAGGTCCCACAGGTCCCGCTGGCCCTTCATTCCCACAGGTCTCGCAGGTCAAAGAGGACCCACAGGTCCTACAGGTCCCACGAACGTCGCATGCCTCACGGGTCCCACAGGCCTGCAGAAGCCCCCTAGGTCG